TAGTTAGCCAAAGGTACATTTTTACCGATATTTGTTTTGTTACATTAAACTGTGCCTGTGAATCACTGCTAGACAGGCAAATGTTATATTTTATCTACGAGTTCACTTTAACACGTATGTGTACTAAATGATTTTATCTATTTTGTGTTTGTTGTACTGTAGGCCAATTTGACTGCAGGAGGAGTATCCTAACTGTACTAAAATGAAATGATCTGTGTACGATATAGCTGGCTTTCCTACAGCGGATCACATGTCGCATTTATTCACCAGGCCAGCTGGATCAAAATTTTACATTTTTTGTTCCTGTGGGCCAGTCTGTGCACATACGGTCCTCAGCTATGCATCAAATTAATTGTGAATGTATTTTAATTAATGCAGACAGGAGATTTGTGAAACATGCTTGTCAGATATTGTAAGAAATTAATTTTCCATGTGGCTCCTTTAAGTAACAGATTGTGTTAAAGTGTTTGTGAAGCGACAGTTCCTGGGAGGAAAAAATCTTACCGCTAACTGCTTCTATTCTGGTCTATTTTCTTCATTCCCTATTGCACACAACGTTCTCTTGCTTAATGCAAGGAGCACACGTTCTAGATCGGGTTATAGACTATTTTCTTTCCTAATGCCTATGTCAAGGCTGCTGTTGTGCCAGAAATGTACTTGAATTCCTGTTGTGGACTGACAACACACAATATTTTTGTGGTCTTAGGCTCCATGTACACGGGACTCTTCTGAACAATGGTAACTGACTGCTGGAAAACATAGGTTAAAAAACGTCTGTTTAGCCACTTTTGCATACCGCGTTTATGCGTGTTTGCATTTAGAAGCATTTTTTAAGATAACCTCAGGAGACCTTCCAAAGTACCCAGAATGCACTGAAAAACAGTAAAAAATTAACTATTTCAGACATTTTGAAAGAAATAGAGAGAGCAGAAGCAGAGAGAGCAGTATGTGTTGAGATGACCTGTCTTTTCTGGTCGTATTCACTATGGATCCCATCATGAGCATAATGCGGCACGTTCTAACATTTTTTCCTTCACGCAAAGCCTGGAACTGACTGCGCTGGTGTACCGGGTCCATTTGAACACATGGAAGACACTGTGCATGCATTTCTGATGATGAAAAAAGGCTCTGGACAGCATCTGGATATGGTACAGTTAAAAACGCTTCTAAACGCAAACGCTTATAAACGCGGTTAGCCACGTTTTCATGTATTTACAAGCGTTTGAAACGCTAATAAAATCTACTCCTAAACACAAGTTTGATGCGTTCAAAAAAACAACTGTAAACTCAACTGCCTGTAAACAACTGTAAACAACAGTGTACATGGACACATAGGAAAACATTAGGGAGAGTTCAGGGGCTGCTGAAAAAAAAAATGCAGAAAAGCTCCTGAACGTGAGCTGCAGTGTACATGAACCCTTAATGGTGCCAGCCCTGCTCAGCTGTCACATGTTAAACTATTAAAACCCTCCCAGTCCACTGTACTCATTTCTACAGTACGGGGACTAATTGTTCTGTAGTCCAAGATAAGAAATGAGAGAGCACAGAAACTGTGCAGAGAACACAAGACAGCTCTAAATCTCTGACATAATGAAGTTTTTTTTTTTTTTTTACATTTATCAAACAGATATATAATAAATAAAACACTTCAATGAAATATTTTAAGCAGACCTTTCCACCCTGTCACTAAAAGGCACACTCGTTTTTTGCTTTTACTTACAATTATTATTTTTGTATTTCCTGTATGAGTGAGTCACTGGTGATGTAACCTTGGCTTACAACTGTATCCTGGGAGGGTACATCACCAGTGCCTCCCCCATATAATATCCAATGTCACATGTTTCAGGAGGAATACCCAGAGTTGTAGGCAAAATTCCAGGAAATAAAGAGAGATGGGTTCGTCTGCCCCTACTAAATACATTCATTGGCCACTTTTTAAGTACACCTTGCTACCCGATGTGGTGTTCTGCTTCTGTAGCCCATCTGCTTCTATTTGTCGTACATTCAGAGATCATATTCTGCATACCTTGATTGTAACGAGCGGTTATTTGAGTTACTGTTGCCTTTCTATAATCTCAAACCAGTCTGCCCATTCTCCGCTGACCTCAAAAAGGCATTTAGTTATGCATGATAATCCCAGTAGATCAGCAGTTTTTGAAATACTCAGACCAGCCCGTCTGGCACCAACAACCATGCCATGTTCAAAGTCACTTAAATCCCCTTTCTTCCCCATTCTGATGCTCGGTTTGAACTTCAGCAAGTGGTCTTCACATATCTAGATCCCTAAATGCATTGAGTTGCTGCCATGTGATTGGCTGATTAGCAATTTGTGTTACTAAGCAATTGAACAGGTGTACCTAATAAAGTGGCTGGTGAGTGTATATCCACCATGAAAAGAATAGAAAGGGAAAAAAAAATGCAAAGAATAAAAAGCCTTCAGTTACCTATACGGCTCCATGCACACTGGGTGTTTTGATAACGCTGATAACGCTGTGTAAAATCACGGTAAAAATGTGAGTTTTTCAGCTTATCTTAGCGCTTCTGCATTAACGTTTAGCTGCGTTTTCCCTCGTTTTTCCGCGTTTGCGTTTTTAGCAATTTTTTGGGTCAAAAAAAAAGTCCAAAAACGCCAGTTTGCAACGTTTTACCGCATTTTGCCACGTTTTTCACCCCTGGAGCGTTTTTACAGCTAACAAACTCCTCTAGAAACCCACCAGCCTTGATTTTTTGGCCAGCCAAAAAACGCCCCTGCCAAAAAACATTGATTACAGTCTGTGTGTGCATGGAGACATAGGATAACATACTGGGGGGTTTACTAGCTGTAGAAAAAAACATCAAAAGCTCAAAAGAGCAGCTGTAAAAATGTCCAGTGTGTATGACGACTAAATATCCGTTTGTAGGTTGTCTTTACAAAACATTTATAAGGTGCATTTGTTGGATGCCATAGGCACTCTGGTTCCCACCCTGGACAGGCTCAGACTGCAGCTCAGAGTCAGGTCTGGGCAGCCCAGGAGCCCGCTACCCTCGTGACAGCCAGTGTGGCCACCTATCAGTACCCTATCAGTGTAGCCTCAGCAGTGCATCATCAGTGCAGCCTCATCAGTGGCCCCAGCAGTGCCCCATAAGTGCAGTATCATCAGTACCCTATCAGTGTAGCCTCATCCGTGCATCATTAGTGCAGCCTCATCAGTGCCCCATAAGTGCAGTCTCATCAGTATAACAAAAAATGGTAAAATTATAATTTACACATCCCGAGGTATAGGGAATAGGTGATAGCAGCTGGCTATTTATTAGGTAATTTCATAGTTGAGCGCAGAAGGATATTTCAATTTTAGCAGTCTCATCAGTGCCCTATCAGTGCAGTCCCATCAGTGCCTTATCAGTGTAGCCTTATCAGTGTATCATCAGCGCAGCCCTATTAGTGCCCCATAAGTGTAGCCTCATCAATGGCCCCATCAGTGCCCCATAAGTGCAGTCTCATCAGTGCCCTATCAGTGTAGCCCCATCAGTGCATCCTCATCAGTGCCCCATCAGTGCATCCTCATCAGTGCCCCATCAGTGCAGCCTCATCAGTGCCCCATCAGTGCAGCCTCATCAGTGCAACCTCATCAGTGCCCAATCAGTGGATCCTTATCAGGGCCTCATGAGTGTAGCCTCACCAGTGGCCCTATCAGTGCATCCTAATCAGTGCCGCCCCATCAGTGCCCCATTAATGCAGCCTCATCACCGCACATCAGTGAAGAAAAATTACTTATTTGAAGAAAATGTTTTTTTTTGTTTTGTTATTTCATTTCCAGTCTTTTCTTTGTGTGTTTAGTAACAAATAAAAACCCCAGTGGTGATTAAATATGACTAAAAGATAGCTCTATCTGTCTCAAAAAAACAGATAAATTAATTTGGATACAGTGCTGCATGACCGCGCAATTGTCCTTTAAAGTGTGACAGCGCTGAAAGTTGAAAATTGGCTTGGGCAGGAAGGGGGCAAAAGTAAGCAGTAGGCAAGTGGTTAAAAAAACCTGGCTCCTAACTTTTTTAGCTGGCTCCTAGATTCAAAGCAAATTTGTCAAGCCCTGTACTATACAACACTGATGTGGTATATTATGAAGATACTGTCACTTTAAATTCTCAGAAATGTTCAGTAAAAATGGACAGTTGCAGACCCATCTTGACCTTTTCATTTTTGCAGCATCAGCTAAATGCACTAAAGGTTTTGTACAGTTAAAAGACATTCAGTACTGATATAGGTAGAGTGATTTTTACATTCATTTACATAAATGGATATTACTGGAAAGCAACAGAAGTTGTGGAAAACAGGGGCCTCACATTCACATTTTTGCTGGATGATTCGACCCTTAGTAATTGTTTACAACTGGAGATTTCAGCTCCTAACATTCCCTAAATGACAAGGCTAGAAGTTTATGGATCTGAGGGCTTGTTTTTTTTACTTTTTGTGAGTAATCTAATACATATACTGGGTGGCTTCAAATACAGCATCTGTAATCAGCCTCTTCACATCTCTCACTATGGGCTATATAGGATTTAGAAGTGCTTGCGTCAGGGCTAGATTGTTATGTGACTGCAATCTGTCAATGTTTGCAATTTACAATAAACATTATTAACATTTACCAAAGGAAAAAGCTACACAATAACTATTTCGATACTGGGGTCCATGTATCAGGCCTTAATCCTCCACTTCTGGGGTCTCCCACCGGTGCTGTCTGCTCCATCTCCTCTCTGTCTGCCCCCATAGAAAACCACTTGTTGTGGGGGGCAGATGTGCGGGCTTGATCCCAAGCTGGAGTGCATGCACCTATAGACACAGAGCGACTCTGCCTCAGCCCCCCCATTCCTTTCTTAGAGGATTTTGACTTCTATCAGTGTCTGGCTGAGCACTGGTTAAAGCCTGTAGGAGGAGTTTTCATTCTTCTCTGACTGTCCTATGAGGCTGCATGGCCCCTGACCGCTGTCTGGACAGTGCTGATTGGCCCTGTGCTGATCACATGCACCCTCCCCCCAAATAAACCCCCCAAACTATCTAGCAATACACACCAAACTGAGCAAGTGCAGAGTGCCTCCTAGTGCTCCATACTCTCAGCAGCATGGATTGTGGACTGTGGAAGAAGGGGAGGATCAGAGAAGACAGAATCAAACATCCTTTTTACACAATGTGGAGGATTAACCCCCTAAGGTTCCACAGTGAGTATACCAAGCATGCTTTATTGCATATACAGGCTGATTTTACTGTTGTGGGTTTAGTAACACTTTTAGTATAGATTTGGGGAGTAGATTTTGAAAGTTTTTTACCTGAATGCAGGGAATGCATTCAGGTAAAAAGCTTTTTACCTTTACATCCACTTTAAAGGAGAAGTACAGCCAAAGCTCTTTTGGCTGTACTTCTCCTGTGGATCGCAGGAGTGCAGTTCGTTCTGCACTCCTGTGACCCGTTTTCAGCTGACAGCAGGCTGAAGCTTGCCGTTGGCTGATGTCAATCAACCAGTCCAGGCTGGGGAAAGATACCGACTTTAATGTCGGGATCCACCCCAGAGTCTGGAACTGCACCTGGCTCAGCATTTCAGTGAGCCAGAGAGCCAGCCGCTTCCTCCCCCTCCACAGCTCAGCCCTCCATGAGCACAGGGGGGCGGGGACAGAACAGAAAGTGATGACTGACGGTCACCGCTCTCTGCTCAGAACAGTGGTGAGAACTCAGTGATCAGCGGTCATGTGATCACCGAGTTCTCACACTTAGAGCCATCAGGGGACAGATGCAGTTTAGGACCAGTGTTGCATCCACCTAGGTAAGTATAATTTGAGGAAAAAAACCCCAAACTTCTCTTTTAAAGCCTAAGTTTAGTCAAGAAGTTTAAAAAGAAATCAGCACAAGGGACATTACATACAATCAATGCGAAGTATTCCTTGTGCTGCTGGCTAAGGTTTTAGTTGAAATCTTTAATTCCCTGATCTAAACTCCTACCCCCACAGCCATACTTCTTGGTACTGCAGAGGTAATATCAGCCAAAAGACCTGTCATATGCACTCTTCAAGAGTACCAACTATGCTCACCCTTTCCACTCTTCCCTCCTCCATTCATAGAAGCTGTAATATAGCTTGGATTGCTTCAATGAAACGCAATCTATGAAAGCAGGAAGCAGACCCTTCATTCACACATCCGTCTTTCATCCATAAAAGGCATTTCATTGGTGGAGCCTCAGCCAGCAGCACAAGGGACAATTCTCAATGACTGTAAGTAGTGTCCCTTGTGCATATTTGTTACACTAAATTTAAAGCAGAACAGCAGAAACTATCTTTGTTTTCGGCTCCATGCACACTGGGCATTTTAATAACTCTGGTATCATTAGCTGTGTAAAGTCACGTTAAAAACGTGATTTTTTTCAGTGTTTTTTAGCGTTTTTGTATTTGCGTTTTTTCGCGTTAGGTTTTTTTTAGAGTTTTATGTGACCAAACAAAAATTTTTTATTTTTTTTGTCAAAAAAAATCCAAAAATGCATTTTGCCACAATTTTCAGCATTAGCATGTTTTTACAGCTAAAAAACTCCTCTAGAAATCCACTAACACCCCTGCTAAAAAATGTTGATGACAGTCTGTGTGCATGGATTCATAGGATAACATGCTGGGGGGTTTACTGGCTGTAGAAAAAAAAGCATCAAAAGCTAAAAAAAGCAGCTGTTAAAACGTCCAGTGTGCATGAGGACTTAAACTTAAATTGGTCCAGCTTGGTTCTATCTAATCCCCATATTTCACACCTGGAGGGCCGCTGGGCCGGAAGAAATTCACTGTTGTAGTCTTTGCTACATAAAGTCAGTACTGGTCTCATCTCACTGGCACCTCCATCATTTAGAGAATGTCTTGTATTTTTTTCAATGAGTACAATGTTTTCTCTGATTTGACGAGCCAGAGATGATGACATCATCCATCCCTCCTCTCTGCCTTGTCCAGTCAGGGAAAGCATGGTGCCCATTGACAAAAAAATGAAATTCTGTAAATGTTGTTGGTGTCAAGCAGGTGACACCCTGTTCTCAGTATACAGACCGCAAGTCACTAGAGCAGCACCCAGAAGATACCAGTGCTGAATCTATGTTGCAAATGCTAGTACAGTGATTTTCTGCTTCCTCAGCAGCCCTCTGGATGGGAGATATGAGGAATTTGATGTAATCAAGATAAAGCAATGAAAGATTAAAAAAAAAGATAGTTCCAGGCGTTCAGTTCTAACAGAAGCAAGGAGAAAAATGTACTATGAGATTGCTCGATTCATAAATGCTTCCATCCCCTGCTCTAAAGTAGCTTTGCAACATAATAAAACTTGCCCATGACCACGTCTTAGGGCCCAATCACACCACAAACTGCACGTCTACTGTGTGTTTTTTATGCATGTTTGCATGCATTTCATACACATTTTTATGCACATTCATATGCAGTTAATGTGTTTGTCCTGTGAGGTCACTTACTTATTCTTTCTTTCTGGGGACTTTTATGTGTACTGCAATGTGTGGCGTTTGTGATGAGGAAAAATGCAGCATACCGTACTTTTTTCACTACACTGTAATGGTGTGAACTATGCTCATAGAATGTCCGGGAATTTGTTCTGTCTATGCAGTTGGAATGCAGTCAAATTTGCACCCCATTGCATCCAGGGTGAATGGGACCTTAAAGCAGAGCTCCACCCAAGAGGGGAAGTTCCGCTTTAAGCCTTTGTCCCCCACTCCCCATTAAGGATTGGCACCTTTGGGGAGCGGGTATCCATACTTGACAGGTACCCGCTCCCACTTCCGCTGAAGCGGAAGTTGTCCTCCCCCCTCCCTCCTCGTAGTCTTCTGGGACACGTGACAGGTCCCAGAAGACTATGGGGCAATTTACAAAGCGCAGCACTTCTCGCGCATGCGCAGTGGGCACCCAGATGTGAAGCCGCAAGCTGTCACAGCCGGGTGTCCACACTAAAGATGCCAACGCCAGGGAGAGAAGACGGCTGGTGAAACCAGGGACCGAGGGACAGGTAATTTTAAAAGTCAGCAGCTACAGTTTTGTGCAGCTGCTGACTTTTATTTTTTTTCATGTGGAACTCTGCTTTAAAGTAGTTGTAAAGGCTCAAGTTTTTTTATCTTCATGAATTCTATACATGAAATTAAAAAACCTTCTGTGTGCAGCTGCCCCCCACCCCCTATCCTTACCTGAGCCCCCTCCAATCCATCGATGTTCACAATAGCCTCGGCTGTATCGGGACTCTCCCCTCCTCATTGGCTGAAACAGCAGCACAGCCAGTGAGCCAGCGAGGAGAGAGCAGGGGTGGTGCTGAGCCGTTGTGTGTCTTGTGGACGCATAGAGCAGCAGATCGGGAGAGAGCACATAGCAGTGCCCCCAGGGCAAGCAGCATGCCCTGGGGGCACTGCTCGAGGGCGAAGGGCCAGAGTGCCGGCAGGGGACCCAAAAAGAAGAGGATCAGAGCAGTTGTGTGCAAAGCTACTGCACAGTGCAACTAAGTATATACATGTTTGTTATTTTTTGAAAAAATACGTTTTAGTATCACTTTAATTGTGCAAGTGGTTAGAGTAAAATTCTGTCTCATCTACAGTGATAAATCTGTCTCAGAACTTTAAAATTCAGTTTCCGTTGGTTGCCCAGGATTGCAGGAACAGGAGTCACGCATACACATAACAACTGTTGCATAGACTTCACTAAATGAAAGGCAGCCTGATTTGCATCTAATTGTGTTGCTCATTTCTTGATTAATGCCCCTCAGTGGGTGTAGAATAATTAGGTTTCTTGCACTGACAAACAGGTAAAGATTTTGCATTAATTCTCTAACCTGTTAAATTAGCTGTCCGGGGCGAATTCAGAATTTCTTTTCTTTTTGTTTTAATCAGGAGTGTCCAACTTGCAGCCCATGAATGCAGCCCAACACAAAATTGTACACTTACTCAAAAATGTTGATTTTTTTTTTTTGGGGGGGGGGGGGGGGTATTTACACTTAGTAAACACATGTGGCTGAAGAAAAATTTGACAGTGTCTCTTTAGTGGATTTTTATAAGTTTCATCTTCCCAAAGAAAAATATCTTACTGTCATCAGTTTTTGGTAGCATCTATATTCGTGAGCAATTATTTTCAAGGATGAAGCACACGAACGGCAAAATTAGAGCCCAAATATCTGATGAGCACCTTGAGAATCCATTGCGAATTGCTACTACATCCATCGAACCAGATATTGATGTGTTAGTTTATCAAAAACTCTGTCAAATATCGCACTCGTTTTATTTTTCCCTCTTTAACTTTTAGGCTCCATGCACACTGGGCATTTTAATAATGCTGGTAACGTTAGCTGTGTACAGTCACGTTAAAAGTTAAAAAGGTGAGTTTTTCAGCGTTTTTTAGCATTTTTGCATTAGCGTTTTGCTGTGTTTTTCCACATTTGCGGTTTTTACTGAAAAAAATGCTTTCCAAAAACGCTGCGTTTCACCGCATTTTTCAGCATTAGAGCGTTTTTACAGCTAAAAATCTCCTCTAGAAACCCACTAGTTCTGGGCTTTTTTTCCAGCCAAAAAACATTGATTGCATGGACACATACTGTAGGATAACATGCTGGGGAGTTTACTGACTGTAGGAAAAAAACGCCAAAAACAGCAGCTGTAAAAACGTCCAGTGTGCATGAGGACTTAAACTTAAATTGGTCCAGCTTGGCTCTATCTAATCCCCATATTTCACATCTGGAGGGCCGCTGGGCCGGTAGAAATTCACTGTTGTAGTCTTTGCTACATAAAGTCAGTACTGGTCTCTTCTCACTGGCACCTCCATCATTTAGAGAATGTCTTGTATTTCTCTGATTTGACGAGCCAGAGATGATGACATCATCTACCCCTCCTATCCACCTTGTCCAGTCAGTGAAAGCATTGTGCCCATTGACAAAACACATGACATTCTGTAAATGTTGGCGGTGTCAAGCAGGTGACACCATGTTCTCAGTATACAGATAGCAAGTTACTGGAGCAGCACCCAGAAGATTCCAGTGCTGAATCTATGTTGCACAGGCTACTACAGTGGTTTTCTGGTTCCTCAGCAGCCCTCTGGATGGGAGATATGAAAAGTATTACAAAAAAATGAAGTTTTAAAACTCAGATAGGTACATTATCTATATCAGTGATTGTTATTTGTGATCTGCCTGACGTTTTCTGCTTATCAGCTATCCTTAGCTAGTTGGTGAATTTTATGTATAGGCC